CCAATACCAACGTGCCTCGCCCTAAATGGCCAACCCTAAACACTATAAACCTTAAACCCTGAATCCCGAACCCTTTAACCCAAAAACCTTACCTTCAATCCCAAACAGTGCGTGATGTACACACCTGGCCCATAGTCTAAACTCCTAAATATCCCCCTTAATATCCCCTATAATACTCCCCTATAGAATCCCCTATATAACCTAAACCCTACACCCTAAAACCCTAAACCCAAATCCCTCAACCCTAAAATCCTAAACACAAAACCCTAAACCCTAAGATCCTAAATCGTAAGCCCTAAACCCTGTATAAACCCTTTAAGGAGTTCAGTCTATAGCTTGGGTATTGCCCCCACTCAGTAACAGTTGGAGAATAGTTATAATCTGTTTCTATATAGCCGTTAATAGGACCCCTAATATAGACTGTTACTGGGTGGGGGCAGTACCCAACCTAAACCCTAAACCCCCAAACTCTAAACCCCTAACCCCTAACCCCTAAACCCCTAAACCCCTAACCCCTAACCCCTAAACCCCTAAACCCCTAAACCCTAAACCCTAAACTGTTACTGGGGGTGGGGCAGTGCCCAATCTATAGCACACCTGACCTGGCCTAGGGATGATGCCTTCGGCTGGGTATCCAGCCAAGCCAGGGCCACCCAAAGCGCCAGGGCCCTGGATAAACTGCGAGTTTAGGGTTTAGGGTTTAGGGTTTTTGTTTTTGTGTTTAGTATTTAGGGTTTAGGATTTAGGGTTTAGGATGTAGGGTTTAGGTTTAGGATTTAGGGTGTATTTAGGTTTAGGGTTTAGGGTGCCTAAGGAGGTTTAGGTTTTAGGGTTTGGGGTGCCTAAGGGGGTTAAGGTTTAGGGCGCCTGAGGCGGATAGGGTCTAGGGTGCTTAAGGGGTTAGGCTTTCAGGATTACTGACACTTAAGGCGGATGGGGCTTAGAGTTTGCTGTTTCGGGTTCGGGGTCAAGGGATATGAAGAGACTTGCTTTAGGGTCCTTAATACGAGCACATGGAAACTACTGTGCATTATTGGGGTTTAGGGTTCAGGGTTTAGGGTTTAGGGGCTACGGCGGCCTACCAAAGGGATCCATTCGCCCATTCCCTACTAACCACCAACAAGCCTAAGGGCTACGGCGAAGCGTTTTGGGGTGTGTAGACTTTAGGGTTCAGGGTTTACCATTTAGAGACGTAGAGTTGCAGGGCTTGCGCGGTTTAGGGTTTAGGGTTTATGTCTCATACGCCCAACTATATAGCTAGGGACAGGTTTAACCAGGGGGTGGCGGGGATGTTTAACAGTAGGGAAATGATAAGGGGCTTAAGGTGTCGAGTTTTCGGACGTAGGCTTTTCAAGGTTCAAGTTTAAGGGTTTGTGAGTTCGGAGATTTATAGTCCCCCTGAAGTAGATAGAATATGGGGTATATGGGGATCTTATTACAATATACCCAAAGCCATATTCTATCTACTTAAGGGGCACTATAGACTTTTGGATTGCAGGGGTTTAGAGTGTTGGTGCTTTCAGAGCTCAGGGTTCATAGTCTTCCAAGATCTTAAGCTAGGTAGGAGTCTGCATAGCAAGCAGAAGTTTTGC